CATTTATATAAAATTGAGGTAATTTCTTCCTTAAATATTTGAAAGAACTCACTGGAAATGTTCTATATTTTCTTTGTGTAAGGGCTTTTAATAGTTGATTCAATTTCCACCAACAGAAGAAACTCCAGATTTTCCATTTGTCAGTTTAATTTTTTGAGGAATTTGTCCTTATTCAAATTTTCAAATCGATGTTGTGTTCATTATATCATCACATCTTTTCACTGTAGAGTCTCCAATGATAATATATTTTTCATTCCTGATTTTTTTTTTCTCCTGTCTTATTGATGTCTTACTGGGGGGATGTCAGTTTTCTCCAACTTTTCAGAGAACCGGCTTTTAGCTTTATTATTTTTCTTTAACTTCGTTTTTTGTTTCACTGATTTCTAATCTTTATTGTTTCCTCCTTTCTCATTCTTTTACTCTTCTTGCTTCTAGAGATGAAGTGTATATGATTTTAACTTTTCAACTTTTATAGTAAATGTAATTAAGGCTATAAATTTCTCTCTAAGCATTGTATCAGCAGCTGCAGCCAACAATTTTTGATATGACACATCTTCATTATCATTCAGCTTAAAATATTTTCTAATACCTATTTCTTGTTCAGTCCATGGATTATTTAGAAGTGTATTGTTTAATTTGAAGGCATTTGAGGATTTTCTAGTGATCTTTTGTTACTGATTTCTAGCATAATTTCCTGGAAGTCAGAGCATATTTTGAATTATTTCGAGCCTCTAAAATGTTTCTGGGGCTTTCTCTCCGGTCAGTTTTGGTAAATCTTAAATATGGGCTTAAGTGAAATGTGAATTCTGTCACTGTTGACAGTATTCTCTACCTATCAGTTAGGTCAAGTTTGTTAACTGTGTTCTCCAGATCTATATTTTTACTACTTTTTTTGTCTGTTTGTTCAGAGGTATATCAAAGTAGCACTTACGATTGTGGATTATCCAGTTCTCTTTTCAGTTGTCTATTTTTGCCTTATCCATTTGAAAGAGTGTTGTTTTGACTGTGAAATCTTCCTTGTAAATTGACTTACCATTTCAGAATATCCCTCATCTCCAGTAATGCTTCTTGACTTCAATCTGTTTCCTCCGACATTAGTCTAGCTAGACCAGTCTTTTCACTAGGTGTTGCATGTTTTAGCTTTTGCCATCCTTGTACTTTCCGTGCACCTGTACTTAAGATGTGCCTCTTGCAAATCGGACATACGTGGGTTTTATTTTCTTCCCCAGTCTGACATTAGCATATTACTTGAAATATCTCATCCATTTTCATTTACTGTAATTAGTGATTTGATATCTACTACTTTTCTGTTTGACCCATTCTTTGATTTACCTTTTTATATTCTCTTCTTTTGGAGTATTCAAATATTTCATTTTCTTTTCATGTACTTTTTTTCTTTTTTAAAGATTTTATTTATTTATTTGATAGAGAGAGATCACAAGTAGGCAGAGAGGCAGGCAGAGAGAGAGGGGGAAGCAGGCTCCCTGCTGAGCAGAGAGCCCGCCGGATGCGGGGCTCTATCCCAGGACCCTGAGATCATGACCTGAGCTGAAGGCAGAGGCGTAACCCACTGAGCCACCCAGGTGCCCCTTCATATACTCTTTGATATTACAACACATATCTGGGTTAAATTTAATACGAATTATTGTATTTACCACTTCCTTGATGATACTAGAACTTTGTACTTTCGAGTTTTTCACCTTTTCCTATATTGTTCTCATGTATTCTGACTCTACGTAAATTTTTTTAAAGATTTTATTTGAAAGAGAGAGAGAACATGAAGGGGGGGCAAAGGGCAAAAGAAAAGCAGACTCCCCGCTAAGCAAAGCAGGGACCTCTGGATCCTGACCTGAGCCAAAGGCAGCCACTTAACTGACTGAGCCACCCAGGTGCCCCTCTACATACATCTTAAATTTCACATTACTGGTATTGTTTTGTAACAGTCAATATTCACTTATATTTACTTTTCTGTAAAGGTCTTCATTCTTTGCTACATATCTGTGTTTCTATTTGGGATCTCTTTCCTTCTGCTTAAAAACCTTTCTACAGAATTTGGATTAATGTAGTCCTGCTATTAACTAATTCTTCGTTTGTAAAAACATGCACATTTCACCTGTATTTATAGAGGATATTTTTACTCTACATATAACTTTGGGTTGACATTCACCCCCACCCCAGCATTTTAAAGGGGTCTTTAGTGATGTCTCTGAAAAGGTATAAATGCTTCCTTGCCTACACTGATAACAGATACTAAAATTGCTTACTGCAATGATGCCAGGATTTGCAGCACCCAGAAATTGCTCCTTCACTTTAAATTCAAGGCCACAGAATTATGATCAGAGCTTGAAGGCTTTACAGATCATCTAGCCCAACTTCCTCCCTAATAATAATCCTTGTAGGAGGTCAGTTTTTGCCTTAAACACTTTCCCAGTTTTGAGGAATTCACCAAATCACAAGATCATGCATTCCATTTATAAACAATCTTAATCATAAAGGGCTTCCTTAGAGAGTACTGAAACACAATCTGCCTCCGTTTTACTCTCTGTCATGGGACTGTATTCTGCCTGAAGGAGCAAGTAAGATATTTAACTTAAATCCTTTGTTTTCACTTACAATATCTGAAGAAAACTGTTATGTGCGCAGCTTCCAGGTTAAGCACCAACTTCTCTACCCTGCCAACTCCACCCTCAACCTTCACCAATTCCACATTCACAATGGTTCACTAATCCCTGTCAATTATGTTCCTAAAAATAAATTGGAATTAGGTCAGTGGCTTAATTGAGGGCCTATTTCTCACCTGGAATGCTGACTCTTTTCCTGATTACCATGCTGGGAGATCTCATGCATACCATATTCTCTATATGCTTAAATTCCTCAAATGGCTCTCTATTATAGCACAGTTTTCCAAACTATTCTTTTGGAATTGAGCGTGCAGGGGTAGAGCTATTTGTTTATTTCATCATCTGCTCTGTTCTCCTCTGAAGTTAAAACTACAAAACTCACTGCAACCCAGAAAATCTTCAGCAATTTTAGATGCAATGGCTTTAATGAAATGAAAAAATTTTAATGCACATGTACACTAAAAATGACCTTGGAGCTGGAATACAACCCAAAACTTTAGTATCCTAGCAACCAGCAAGAAAAACTATAGCCTGAAAATATATTATTTATGACAGCCTCTGGCTTAAAGTATGAGGAAAAAATAATTTAGAAATGACAGAATTTATAATAAAAACATCTGGGTTCAAGTCTTAGCACCCTTTCTTACTAGCTCTGTAACATATAGTAAATTATTTAATCTCTTTGAAGTCTCTGTTCATCTGAAAAATTCAGTTAAGAATACTTGCCTTGGTAAATTTATCACAGGAATACTTTATAGTAGTTATAAAGAAGAAAAAAAAGGAAAAATGTTTGCCACTATGAACATTTACATGGATTAATCTTAAAAAGATGATGAATGCAAGAAGCGAGCCATGAAGGAATCAAAGATACCACTTTTAAAAGGTTAAAGAGACAGTCAAAATTAAATAATACATAGATAGCAATTTTTTTAAGAGTCAGGAAATGATGAACATCGAATTGAAGACAGAGGGGCACCTGGCTGGCTCAGTCGGTTAAACATTTGACTTTAGCTCAAGTCATGATCTCTGGGTCCTGGGATCCAGCTCTGCCTTGAGCTCCCTGCTCAAAAGGCAGTCTGCTTCCCTCCTCCTCTGCCCCTCTTCCCCGCTCATTTTCTCTAATAAATAAATAAAATCCTTTAAAAAATACCTTAAAAGAAAAACAAAATTCAAAACAGATACACCAAGGTGGGTTTGTGTATTGAAGGGGAGAGGTGTGATTAGGGAGGCATGCTTTGGTGTCTCCCTAAATTCTGTGAAGGGATCTGGGGGTTAATGGGAGTTCATTATAGTTATTTTTTAAACAAAACACATATATTGGCACACCTCTGCATTTATGATCCAATTTAAAACAAAAGTTATTTAAAACTCCCAGTGAATCTGAGTTCGATCTGTATCTGCACTTGTAGATGGAAAGTTCACAGATTCCCTGCTTTCTCCTGTGCTGAATCCCAGTATGGACTGATTTCATTGGCAACTTTGAAGAAGATAGCTGGATGCAGAAAAGTTTTTAACTCGTTGGAAGTAGATCTCAGGAAATTTCTGGTGTAAAATGAAATGAGATACAGATAATTAATGTAACGGAGAGCAACTATAATGGACCTGGCTCTGTGCCTACAACTGTAAATAAGATCTTCCCATACTTGCTCTATGTCCTGAGCCACATTCACTTACCAATCAGCACTCCCAAAACAGTGAAAAAGCTCCCTGGCCTATTCACATTTTTAACTCAGAAACATGGACAAATAGTCTTGTTCACTCTGCTTTCTGAAAAGCATGTTAATTTTATGCTCATAGGGCAATTAAACTGGTAGTAAAGACATTAAAAAACAACATAATATGGCTTAGTTATTACACAAAGTATTAATATTTAAAAATTACAAGTATTAGAGCTGAGACAAAAAGACAAAAAAAACCCCTTCCTATAAATTTCATAAATATATCCATCTATGTTTAAATACTTTTGATAAATATATTTAACCATTCATTTGCAAACTTTTCCTAGTGAATTTAATGAATAAATATTTAACGGTTGCTCATTATCAAAAGATCATGAATTTGTTCCTTCCCTCCTCTCTGGTTGGGGTGGGGGATTCATCTGATGAGCAGGGCCTCGGGTCGAATGGTGGGATCAGGATTGACATCACAGGGGTCAAGGTTTTCAGCTGGCTTGGTCCTGGTTTTAGTTGAAAGCTAGGGTTTCAGTCAGCATATGAGGGAGTAGTGTGGTCAGGATAGTGCAGGGGTGACTGACTTATTTGACATATTTGGAGCTAGTTGGGCCAATGCAGCTGCTGGCATTGTCAGGAGGTTGGAATGTAAAGAAAAAGTAAGCAAATAATATATTTAGGATTATGGGAGCCAGATTTCTCAGAGATAGAGAGAGAGATATAAATATGGAAAGGGAAAATACTGGATTAAATCCTGAAGTACTGAATTGGAATTGAGGATCTCAGTGTTTATATGTATATACAGAAATTTATATAGCAGGGCACCTGGGTGGCTCAGTGGGTTAAGCCTCTGCCTTCAGCTCAGGTCACGATCTCAGGGTCCTGGGATCGAGACCTGCTTCGGGCTCTCTGCTCAGCAAGGAGCCTGCTTCCCCCCTGCTCTCTGCCTACTTGTGATCTCTCTCTCTGCCAAATAAATAAATAAATAAATAAAAATCTTCAAAAAAATTTATATAGCTGTACATCTTTCTGTGTGTACACACTTTTTTTTTTTCTAAAAATTTTATCTGGGGTTGGGGGAAAGAACAAACAAGGGGGAGTGGCAGAAGGGGAAGAAGACTCCCTATCAAGCAGGGATCCTGACATGGAGCTCAATCCCAGGACCGTGGGATCATGACCTGAGCCAAAGCCAGAAACTTAACCGTCTGAGTCACTCAGGTGCCCCAGGCATGTACTTTTTTGATCTGTCCACCAATAAGGCTTTTATTCAATGAATTGTTCATGTCAATAATGAACTTTCCAGTAGCAATGAGCATGTCTCAGGTGTTGATTTCCATATACTATTTTTCATTCATTCATTCACTCATTCATTATTCATTCATTTTAAAGACTGTATTTATTTGAGAGAGATAGGGAGAGAAAGCACAAGCAAGGGGCAGGGGGAGGGGCAGAGGGAGAAGCAGGCTCCCCCCTGAGCAAGGAACATTACGTGGGGCTTGATCCCAGGACCACAGGATCATGACCTGAGCCGAAAGCAGACGCTTAACCTACTGAGTCACCCAGGTACCCCTATACTATTTTCCATTTTAAAGAACCAAGATTTCTTGCAAAAAGCACAAGATAAGCTTGGGATACCTTAATCTGCTTAAAAAAAATAAGGAAGAGCACAAAAAATCAAAAGAACTTAGAAGCAAGCTTGGATAGACTTCCATAGACCAAATGTGGGAAAAGTTCCATAGCAAAGTACATGACAACCATATATTGGAACTTACTGAATAAAGTAGGAATCCATGAGTTCACACTGATACAAATGAATAGACAGTGGATGGAGAAGGGACTGTCCTTCCTCACAGAATATCAATCAAAGCATTAGCAATGATGAACTCACCATTCGGCAACGAGAATACTGATACTGATTCAGGTAACAGGTGTTCATAGACTTAAATTAACTGGTGACAATTAGATGAGACACAGGACATTTACGTAGGCTCAAAGACTGTCCTCACCAAACTCTTTTCACTAATTTTAAAAGAGAGAAAATTGGTAGATACTATCCTAACCAAGTGATCAAAGTTAACATCACCAAGGATGGGACAATGTGACACTGTGTACCTCCAGGTACGATATAGTGAGAATAGGACAATATTTCTAACAAAAAGATATATACTGAATCTAATCACGAGGAACCCTAATCATTTTTTCTAATCATTAGATAAACCCTAACTGAGGGACATACTACAAAGTACCTGGCTTATACTCTTCAGATAATCAAGGTCATGAAAGAAAAGACTGGGAAAACTGCTCCAGATCAAAGGAGAGAAGAGACAGGACAACTAAATGCACCATCTGATCTTGCATAGGAAGGGATGCTGGGGCAGAGAAGAACAGTATTGGGGCAATCAGCAAATTTGAATGCTGTCTGCGATTAGATGATCTACATCATTGTTAATCTCCTGATTTTGATTGTCCTACTGTGGCTATGTAGGAATGGACCTTGTTTTAGGGAAACATCATTAAAGCATTTAGGGGTAATGAGGAAATCATGTATGGAATTTTCAAATTCAAATAGTTCAAAACTGGTTCAATATTGGATGAGACTACACTGAATTGATAAATAAATGGAAGGTAAATGAACATCTTTACAATATCGAGGCTTCCCATCCATGCACATCATAGAGGACTCCATTTTTTCCAAAATCTCCTTAAATGCTTCTTGATATAGTCTAAAAGTGTCTCCATGAAGATCTTGTATGTACTTTGTTAGATATATTCTCAGGTCTTTCAAATTTATGTTGAGATCTTTCTAAAAACTTTCACTTCTTATTAGTTGATGATATACAGGAAGACAACTGACTTTCGCATAACTGTGAATGTAGCAACTTTGCTGAACTCCAGATATTACTGACTTGTCTACATATATAATCATATCAGCACATCAAAACAATTTCCTGCTTCTAGGAAAGAAAACACCAGAGAATTAATTGACAATGATGTGCCATAAAAATATACATGGTTGTCATTTAAAGAGATTTTTATAGTTGTACAAATACAGTAAGTAATACGAGCTTAGCTGGGAATAATGTAGCTATAGTACCATCTTTAAATTAAATCACCCAAAGAAGGGAGGTATGACTTCACTGGCTTCTGAAATCTCTGGACAAGTCCTTCACAGTCATCATCTCTTCTTCATCTCTGTATCAAAAGAAATACCTTGCCTGAAGTGCACTAGAAGTGATTTTAAATATTCATGGATATTAATTAAGTTCTCAGGATGTAAAACAAATCTATCAAAGAAAGTCATGATCAACCCTTCACAAATGACTTCTTGCAAACTTGAACAAGATGCTTTCCACAAACCTTTCTGGTGGTCTTGCAGCTCTCCAAAAGGCTCCCCACTACTGCCCTTTCCCTTGACTCATATTCTTTCCATGTGTCAAAAAACAACTTCCTGTGAAGAACTGCCACCGTGTTACTAAGTAGAACAGGGCAGTGTACACTCTGTGTCCTCTAGAAATAGCAGCATCTGCTCAGGAGGTACTTACTTAGTGTCCCAGGAAACTAGAAATACCTATAGACTGATGGATTAAGCTGGATGAGACGTCAGAGAGCCCTAAAGACAGAAAGGCCCAAGTGGAATTCTCACTTGTGAGGCTTAACACAGAGGCCAGCTGATTATACCACAGATTCTTTGACTCGGTCATCTCAATACGCTAAAAGAAAACTGAAGGAGTTTAAAAGTACATTTTCAAAGTTTCAGTATGGGATGATGAGAAAGTTCTAGAGATGGGATAGTGGTCATGGTTGTAGAACAATGTGAATGTACTTAATGCTACTGTACACTGGTTAAAATGGTAAATTTTATGTTATACATATTTTGCCACAATAAAAAAATTTTAAAGGTGTATTTTCTATTGTTAAATATTACCTGATATTACTTAGTAATAACACAGTCATTAAGAGTACTAAACATCAAGAATCGGACAGCCCTGTGTTTGAGACTTGAATCCAACTGTTACACCTACGGAACCAAACCACATTATAACCAGGCCTTTGTTTCCTTATCTGTAATACAGAAATAGTAAAATACTTACCTATGTAGTATAGGCTGCTGTGAACTCGAAAGGAAATAACTTATGTAGGAATTTAGCAAAGTTCATGGCACAAAGAGAAGGTTCAATAAATGCTGGCTCTTATTTTCTTTTTAGGTTTTTGTAGCAATACAATTCTTTTATATCTTGCACAATAAGGACTAAAAACAAGACTCTAGTACAAAGGAGTTACTCATTTCTCCTTAGTCCATAATGTCATATAGAGCTATATAGAGACTTCTTACAAAATGCATTCCATGTTATAGTCAAGGAATATATGAGTTCAAGTACTGACCACTAACCCAATGGTGACTAAATCTAGTCTCACACCCGAAGAGGCAACAATTTCAGAGAAGCCACGAGAACCTGAAATAATTTAACAGGTTAATATATATACATATATATGCACATATATATGTATATATATAATATATATAAAATATGTATTTTTATCAAGGATAACATATTCATATAAAAGCGTTTGCTACAAATAGAATTCACACATAGAAAAAGAAGCTATTTAAATTTTTTTGTCCCTTTTATATCCTGTTTTAGGCAAAATGATATAACCCAGAAAATCACAGAACTGCACTAGTTCTAAAAACTAGGAATTTTATAAATGAAATATATCCATCCAATCATCTACACTTTTTCTCAAATTCCAAACAATGAGGCTTGCCAAACTATACTTAGAATCAACTTAAATAAAATCTCTGCATGATTTGGATGAAACATACATTGTCAATGGTTAAAAATTCAGGTAGAAAAAGTACATAAAATTACTTAAAAGTAAAAACATTTTATACCAAAGTAGTGGTTAAAAAAAAAAAATCCCAGACAACATGAAGAGGAAATGCACTGGATTTTAAAACATTTTTGGACCAATTTATAAAATACCAAAACGTTCAGAACTGTTGAAAAACAAAAGTTTATGTTGAACAAGGCAAGAGGTGAAAAGATATTAAATGTATTAAAACCATCTAAATCCGAATAAGACAAAACTGAACTATGTAATTTAGAAATAAGTTTAAGTGTATTTTCTTTGTACAATTCAACTGACTACCACATGGAAAATCTGGCCATTAATCAAAATGAAATTAAATACAGATTTGCAAGCCTTTTGGCCATTGTGTAAATATTAACAGGTGAATTGCCAACTGAAAAATAAAAGGTTACATACATACCATATGAGAGGTCAAAGATGCACACTATAAAATCATGTGAACAAAACAATCATACCAGACAAAGATCTTTCAGGCACTTGCATTCGGAAATAGTCCTTTTATAAATAAGCAACGTAGTTTCACTTCAAAAAATAAAGCAGATTTTCCCCAATTGCACCTATTAGTTGAGAACTATATCATATATTAGGGATGCATTTAAATGGACCATTTTATGGGAAAAATCAACTAAACTTTAAAAAACATGAGTCCACCTATTTATTCACAACTTTAAAAATACAGAGATTTCCAGTGAGGCGCAGATGGGGGCCCTATCAAAACAGTCTACCATTCAATATGACCAATGCAGTATAACACGATACAAGGACAAAAAGCAAAACCCATGATGTGGCAATACTGTAAAGAAGGGGCCCTGTCAGAAGTTTCTTTCACGAAACAAACACAATACCACAAAATAAAACAACAACACAGAAAAGCTGGATTCTGACAACCCTACACAAACTGTGGGATTTCATC